TTTAATAGATATAAGAAGATGTGGTATGAGTGCCAATGAGACAACTCTCCATCCAAGTCAAAATTTATAAAAGTAAACCATTATAGGTCACAGTACGGTCTTCAACACGGAGCCTTGGCTCACACCAAACAGTAAGCTATAAAGGGCCCCACAAAATTACTAGTGTAAAACCATTCAAACGGGAAAACCAACGGTCTAATCTATATAAAAAACGAGAAACGAGAAACACTTATGAACCACATCAACAAACGACAACTACTGAACATCAGATTCCTGACTTAGGACATGTGCAAACAAATGCAGCGGGTTTAAACGTTTTTAATGGTACCAAAAGTTATTATTAAAGGTCTCTTTTGAATAAAACTATTTTTTATACTATTTACCTGTACTTACCTGTATTATTGGCACAAATGAAATGATTTATTTTGGCGCAAATGAAATATGGTGTGTGGCTCAAATGAAAGATTATTTTAATTGGCGCAAATGAAATGCCAATTGGCGCAAAAGCAAAGCGCCGCTCATATCGTATTGGCAGATCTCCGATCTTTCATCTTGTCGATCCATTTTACATGCCATGAATTAATTATTTTATTCTAACGTATAACTGTATTTTCACTTAATCATATGGCAAATGTATTATTTGATGGCTAATTTCATGTGAAAAGTAAGTATCGTGGGTATAAGAATTAAAAATAGAGACATAAAGTACCAAGACATTAATCACATCAGTCAGAAAAACCGACGAAAACACCACGACAAAAATAAACGTAAAGACAAATACCAGTATAAAAACATAACAGACAAAACTAAAGACTGAGCCGAAAGAACTCCATAAAAAACGGAGAATTATCTCAGATGCTCTGGGAGGGTAAGCAAATACTGCTCAATATGTTATAAGTTTTTACAAGATCAATTAGGATGATGTTGGGATAAAGAACAGCTATAAAAGTGTTGGTCCTTTGGTTTTGTATAGTGCGTGTAGGGATTTTTATACTTCAAACTTATTTCAAACAGCGGGGTGTTTAAGGTTTAAAGTTTTCAAAGAGAACCTTACAATTTTATGATATAGACCAAATAAAAGAAATGTTGGGTCGTAAAAGGATCTTATAGAAAAGAAGTGTTATCCTTCCAAACGCATTTTTGTAGTCGTGCTACTAGTATTGAAAACGTAACTTTGACAAAAACCATTGAACAAAAATTTGTTGTAGTCTATGCAAGAAGGTAAATCCAGAAAGTTGTCCGGACGCACTAAATATATGAAATGTTATTTTTTTCTCTAGTTAGTCTGTTTTAGAGACAAATTTTTGACGCTACCAAATATGCTCGTATTAAAGTTTTTGTGTGAGGTGAGTTTTTTCTCTCAGAACAAACATTGATTTTCGACTTTGTCAAAAAATAATTTTTTACTTGAAACAAACTTTTTTTAACTTCCTTTCTGAAACATTTTTTTTTTTTCAAGAAATTAAGAATCAAGTAATTGATATAGAGACAAACCCAAAAAAGATAAATGATCACTGCTTAAATACATATTGAATATTTCACGCTGGACATTTTGCTATAAAAATGAAATCAAAAAAACAAAAACAAAACAAAAAAATGAACGATAAAAGACAGCATATGCATATAAAATATGATAAGACTACCGACCTGGAAAGACCCAATCATTCTGCAATACACAGGTTCTCAGAAATCATACATGCGTCAGTTTATTTTATACCATTTATGTTTTCTAAATATATATTCGTCCTTTGGCGGATAAAAATATGTCTTCCGTTTTCTTAATTTTTAATATACTAATAGAGATGTTAAACACAAAACTCACCGGAATATAAACATATTTCTATTCTAAATACAAATGACATTGAGGTCTAAAAATTTGTTATTCTTTTAATTATCAAGGCATCAATTACATGTGCAACACTTAAAAGAAACAGCTATAATTTTCTAGAACACTCATTTGTTTTTAAATTCCTTCTTTTTTTAAGAGAAGAAGTTGAAGCGTGGGACATTTCCTCACCCGTCTATGAAAAGTTAAAAAAGTTCTAAAATAAGGGGGGGATAAAATCATAGGTACCATAAAACTATAAACCGATGAAAAAACGACAAAATTATGATCAAAAGGAAAACAGACGAAGATACAAATAAAAGTCCTAAACGCGCTACACAAAAAGAAAAAGAATGAGCAACACGAGCCCCACAAAATCCAGGGGTGAACTCCAAAAGGGTCAGCAGAACAGGGTCCAGCTCCCTGTAGGGATATGGAAGTTATATTCGATGACCAGAATGTCAAGGAATAATGTTAGCAGGTGACTAGGCAAGACTACTGACCATTGTTCTCATATCTTATTGGCAGATCTCAGCTCTTTCAACTTGTCGATCAATTTTGCATGACATGAATTACTTATTTATTCTATCGTATTTTTTTGACTTATCATATGGCAAATGTATTATTTGATGGCTAATTTCATGTGAAAAGTAAGTATCGTGGGTATAAGAATTAAAAATAGAGACATAAAGTACCAAGACATTAATCACATCAGTCAGAAAAACCGACGAAAACACCACGACAAAAATAAACGTAAAGACAAATACCAGTATAAAAACATAACAGACAAAACTAAAGACTGAGCCGAAAGAACTCCATAAAAAACGGAGAATTATCTCAGATGCTCTGGGAGGGTAAGCAAATACTGCTCAATATGTTATAAGTTTTTACAAGATCAATTAGGATGATGTTGAGATTAAGAACAGCAATAAAAGTGTTGTTCCTTTTGTTTTGTATAGTGCGTGTAGGGATTTTGAATTGATATAACGTCATACAATTGTTGTTCTTAGTATGATTTGTATGATTTGCATATCTACAATACTTGAATGTAATTGGTCCGTTAACATTTTTATGCTTGTGTACGCGTCGATAGTCCATGTTGCCGAAACTACTTACGTTATCCATGTAGACACTGTGTCAATTTCACCGTGACACAAATGAAATACTGAAGTTCTAAAAAAGATAGAATTAGAAAAAAAAAATGGTATTTTTATGCGCGGAGTATATTTATTTGAATACTTCCTTTTCGCACAGACTAACCTAAAGCACTGATGTATTTGTCATTGGAATGACTGATTTATGTGAAAAAATTAAAATGAACACGTGTGACTTGTGTATACAAATCTTGTTTATGGGAAAAACCGTTTTGATGAATAACCCCGGGAAATCTTAGAACATACTTTTATCATATAGACGACATAAATAAAAGTATCGTGATATCAATGGATATAAAATTTTGTCCTTTGTTTTTTTATACACTTACCTTACAAAAAAAAACATACATCAATTATTTCTTTATAAAGAAAAATAACTCACCGAAGTATTAAACGTGCAATGTCCGAAGACTTCTTTAACAGCTATATTATATTACTGGCAGATCAGTGAGATCACACAATGAGCTTAGTAATACCCAAATTTCATTTACTTCAGTTAAGAATGTGTTGTAACAATATTCTTTCACACCAACATATTTGGCAAGTTGGACTTTTCACTAAAATAAAATCCCAGATAATTTCGATAAAAAAGGGTATGAGGCTAGAAATACAAATGTGGGTAAGAATGCTATAATTTTTTATTTATCATTGATGGTTAAACATCTAATTATAGTCTCTGGCTTCCATATAGTTTGATGTTTATGTACATTTATGTATATGTGTTCTAGGTTACTTACCTATTACGGAAGGCTACATGTATACATGATTTGCTGAACATTTTTTTTGTTTCGATGAAATTTGATCCGTATCTAGTTAAACTAAACAAATACGCTAAAAATGAGATTTGCGAAATATATGGTCATAATATTATAATAATCATGGATATATTCAAGTGCATCTGGTATGCTTAGTGCAGCCATGCCAATAACAACAGATTGATACAAACAATACATGAACTAAAACTGGATGAAAATAATTAAAGTTAATAATTCACTGCATACGATGTGAGTTTTTATCCATTTATGTTGCTATGTATATTATTATACATGTAGGTTGCTGGCCAGTAATTTCATTTGTCATGTAATTCTGTTTTTATTTTAGCATTATAAACGGGCCTGATGATAGTTCAGATATTCTCCTCCAGCGTGTATGCTATAATATTTATTTACCCTCCTATCAACGCATGGTCAAGTTGCATGTTAAGTGCATTTTTGCATTTTGCACAGTGGGATTAATATTTCACAGCACAACTCTATAAAAGTACACACATAAGTAATGATGAGAAATTTCCAGCTGATATGAATGAAAATCTAAATTTACAAGAAATGAAAGTTTTTAACTAATACTTTCATTACTGTATGTGGAACGGGGACCCAGTTATTTCCCCCATTGAAACGCATTGAAAATCATAGTAAATAAATGGGGTGCTGTCCAATTAATAATTTTGATAGCCACCTTGGGACTTCTGTTTCATGTTAGGCATTTGTTTCGAAGTTTCTAAGTTCAATCTCAGTGCCTCATGACCGGCATTCCGTTGCAAAATTTTGTTTCGATTGACAACAGGGTAGGTCCATCTACTTCCGGGGAAGAATAAAGGCTAGAATTTAGGCAATTTACTCTATGTACCGACGCCTGATTACATTTAAATCAATCAAAATTTTTACAGAAATTCAAGCTAGAAAGCCTATCCTTTCAAATAAATCTACATTCAGTTACAGAACTTGTGTAATAATAAAACTTCACCATTTTAAATAAAAGTTATATATTTTTTTTAAGAACTACATTCGTGGGTACCGGACTGGTTGCCGTAACTGGGATCCTATTCCTGTCAGACTTTAAATTTTTTTCCAGACTTAAAACTGCACTTTTCAAATAAAGATATACATCTCAGTAGTTATTGTGCAAAGTTTCAATAGATTTGATCCAACAGTTAAAGAGTTATTGATCCTTATCTATGACATCTCAAATACCAGAAAATTGATCGGATAAAATCATAAATTCATGAAGAAAATATTCTTAAAATCAGCAAAACTTTTTTATTTTAAAAGATATTTACATTCTGTAAATTGCACATGATAGATAAATTCATTATTTGTATAGAAATCTAGTTAAAAAAAATTTTTTGCTGAAAAAAAGTTAATTATAATTAATTTTTTAATTAAAAAAAAAATCTTATAAGAATTACATATGCAAAGAAGCATACCCCATAACAAGAGTATAAATCATGAGACTTAGTCTTCAAACAGTCAGCTAAGTTCATTCAATATACAATGGAAGAGGCTAGATGCAGAGAAGTTCTCACTTGTAGCTAAAACCAGTCAAGACGGCACCTCCTACAGTTTTAAAAATGTCGAGGGAAATCCTGGATCTGCCTGAATGCTTAATGCTACTGTGCGTTGTTATACTTGTGACTGCTCTAAATGTCCCACTAGTTCATACGTGTGTGGTGGTGGTGGACACTCAAACTGTTGGTGGCTGAGATCTATGTACTTGGGTTCAAACAAGTTAACTAACCTGAATATGGATAACAAAGACAAGTTAATAATGCAGGAACTTTTAAAAATGAAACTTAGCGAAGAAGTATTTATGAAAATGAAATTTAATCATAATACTCAAAAAGGTGAAGCTGTTAAGGGAGCACTAAGTGTTTCCTTACCAAAGAATGTGAACTTTTCTAGAAATTTGAAAGGAGGGCATCCGCAATAATTCACAATTTGAATAATGGTATAGCTTATTCCTTGTGACAAAAAGCAGAATGTATTGGTTTTAAAATCTCAATAGGTTCATTAAAACACTTCGACCAGATGTAAAGGGAGTGTGAACAGAACAAAGTAAACCAAAATACTCCAGAAAGGAAAAAGAAAAATTTACAACGCACCGAACAGAAGACTAAGGTTCACGTGGAAGAAAAGGATCGAAGTAAATGTACAGATAGATATAAAAAAGGGCAACCTGATCCAAAACTTGATGCTGCATTTGTAAAAGCATAAAGGACGATCATTCATATGGTAGAGTAATACCTGCTAAGAAGAATATACCTACCAGAAGCTGTTCTTCAAAACTTCCAAAATCAAAGGAAGATATAGCTGCATTCATCTACTGCTGAAAAAGATACAGACAAAATTAACGGTCCTTTTAAGGACCACCAAAATCTTTAAAAAGGAGTCTAAAATTGTTGTACATTCAGTTAAAATTGTTTATATAAGCTATAGCCCTACCCCTTATATATCTTCCAAAAAAATCCAGGCCCCAATCTGGAAAATTGGAGAGCCCCTGGCAAGATTTTCTGAGTTTACGAAATATTCTGTGGTTATTAATATTTATGTGATGCGGCTCTTCAGTAATGTGACCCGCATTCTCACACAAACTATTTTGACACATAAAATGGCATAAAGTGTTGTATTTAATATTTAAAACTTATCAAAAACTAATTAAAAACCATAAAACTGAATCTATGGGCTTTTTTCTTTTTCCAGGTCCCAGAAATATGATATTGGAAAGAAATAAGCCCATATTTTCCATCTTTTGTTGTCCCCTGATCCCATATAAGAAATTTGTTATTTCTTGCCAGGTGGCTCTTTTCTAATATTCTTTGCTGATATTTTTTGAAAAATCCCTCCATTTTAACTTACAAGTGTATGAATACATAATACCATCAAAATGACCTTACTGTGACCCCTTCTGAAACTTTAAATTGAAAAACAAACTTTTTAATAATTTCATAAATTTAAATTTCAGTTTAATTTAAAAAGTTTAATTCAAATTTTAAAAATAATTACACCATTGTTTTTCTTATTGAATTTTCAAGTTTCTGGCCAAATTTCATCCATGTAACCCCAAAAATAAGCTTACAATTGCAGATTGAAGTGTTCAAAATATGCCCTCTGACAGGAACGGGGACCCAGTTATTTCCCCCATTGAAACGCATTGAAAATCATAGTAAATAAATGGGGTGCTGTCCAATTAATAATTTTGATAGCCACCTTGGGACTTCTGTTTCATGTTAGGCATTTGTTTCGAAGTTTCTAAGTTCAATCTCAGTGCCTCATGACCGGCATTCCGTTGCAAAATTTTGTTTCGATTGACAACAGGGTAGGTCCATCTACTTCCGGGGAAGAATAAAGGCTAGAATTTAGGCAATTTACTCTATGTACCGACGCCTGATTACATTTAAATCAATCAAAATTTTTACAGAAATTCAAGCTAGAAAGCCTATCCTTTCAAATAAATCTACATTCAGTTACAGAACTTGTGTAATAATAAAACTTCACCATTTTAAATAAAAGTTATATATTTTTTTTAAGAACTACATTCGTGGGTACCGGACTGGTTGCCGTAACTGGGATCCTATTCCTGTCAGACTTTAAATTTTTTTCCAGACTTAAAACTGCACTTTTCAAATAAAGATATACATCTCAGTAGTTATTGTGCAAAGTTTCAATAGATTTGATCCAACAGTTAAAGAGTTATTGATCCTTATCTATGACATCTCAAATACCAGAAAATTGATCGGATAAAATCATAAATTCATGAAGAAAATATTCTTAAAATCAGCAAAACTTTTTTATTTTAAAAGATATTTACATTCTGTAAATTGCACATGATAGATAAATTCATTATTTGTATAGAAATCTAGTTAAAAAAAATTTTTTGCTGAAAAAAAGTTAATTATAATTAATTTTTTAATTAAAAAAAAAATCTTATAAGAATTACATATGCAAAGAAGCATACCCCATAACAAGAGTATAAATCATGAGACTTAGTCTTCAAACAGTCAGCTAAGTTCATTCAATATACAATGGAAGAGGCTAGATGCAGAGAAGTTCTCACTTGTAGCTAAAACCAGTCAAGACGGCACCTCCTACAGTTTTAAAAATGTCGAGGGAAATCCTGGATCTGCCTGAATGCTTAATGCTACTGTGCGTTGTTATACTTGTGACTGCTCTAAATGTCCCACTAGTTCATACGTGTGTGGTGGTGGTGGACACTCAAACTGTTGGTGGCTGAGATCTATGTACTTGGGTTCAAACAAGTTAACTAACCTGAATATGGATAACAAAGACAAGTTAATAATGCAGGAACTTTTAAAAATGAAACTTAGCGAAGAAGTATTTATGAAAATGAAATTTAATCATAATACTCAAAAAGGTGAAGCTGTTAAGGGAGCACTAAGTGTTTCCTTACCAAAGAATGTGAACTTTTCTAGAAATTTGAAAGGAGGGCATCCGCAATAATTCACAATTTGAATAATGGTATAGCTTATTCCTTGTGACAAAAAGCAGAATGTATTGGTTTTAAAATCTCAATAGGTTCATTAAAACACTTCGACCAGATGTAAAGGGAGTGTGAACAGAACAAAGTAAACCAAAATACTCCAGAAAGGAAAAAGAAAAATTTACAACGCACCGAACAGAAGACTAAGGTTCACGTGGAAGAAAAGGATCGAAGTAAATGTACAGATAGATATAAAAAAGGGCAACCTGATCCAAAACTTGATGCTGCATTTGTAAAAGCATAAAGGACGATCATTCATATGGTAGAGTAATACCTGCTAAGAAGAATATACCTACCAGAAGCTGTTCTTCAAAACTTCCAAAATCAAAGGAAGATATAGCTGCATTCATCTACTGCTGAAAAAGATACAGACAAAATTAACGGTCCTTTTAAGGACCACCAAAATCTTTAAAAAGGAGTCTAAAATTGTTGTACATTCAGTTAAAATTGTTTATATAAGCTATAGCCCTACCCCTTATATATCTTCCAAAAAAATCCAGGCCCCAATCTGGAAAATTGGAGAGCCCCTGGCAAGATTTTCTGAGTTTACGAAATATTCTGTGGTTATTAATATTTATGTGATGCGGCTCTTCAGTAATGTGACCCGCATTCTCACACAAACTATTTTGACACATAAAATGGCATAAAGTGTTGTATTTAATATTTAAAACTTATCAAAAACTAATTAAAAACCATAAAACTGAATCTATGGGCTTTTTTCTTTTTCCAGGTCCCAGAAATATGATATTGGAAAGAAATAAGCCCATATTTTCCATCTTTTGTTGTCCCCTGATCCCATATAAGAAATTTGTTATTTCTTGCCAGGTGGCTCTTTTCTAATATTCTTTGCTGATATTTTTTGAAAAATCCCTCCATTTTAACTTACAAGTGTATGAATACATAATACCATCAAAATGACCTTACTGTGACCCCTTCTGAAACTTTAAATTGAAAAACAAACTTTTTAATAATTTCATAAATTTAAATTTCAGTTTAATTTAAAAAGTTTAATTCAAATTTTAAAAATAATTACACCATTGTTTTTCTTATTGAATTTTCAAGTTTCTGGCCAAATTTCATCCATGTAACCCCAAAAATAAGCTTACAATTGCAGATTGAAGTGTTCAAAATATGCCCTCTGACAGGAACGGGGACCCAGTTATTTCCCCCATTGAAACGCATTGAAAATCATAGTAAATAAATGGGGTGCTGTCCAATTAATAATTTTGATAGCCACCTTGGGACTTCTGTTTCATGTTAGGCATTTGTTTCGAAGTTTCTAAGTTCAATCTCAGTGCCTCATGACCGGCATTCCGTTGCAAAATTTTGTTTCGATTGACAACAGGGTAGGTCCATCTACTTCCGGGGAAGAATAAAGGCTAGAATTTAGGCAATTTACTCTATGTACCGACGCCTTATTACATTTAAATCAATCAAAATTTTTACAGAAATTCAAGCTAGAAAGCCTATCCTTTCAAATAAATCTACATTCAGTTACAGAACTTGTGTAATAATAAAACTACACCATTTTAAATAAAAGTTATATATTTTTTTTAAGAACTACATTCGTGGGTACCGGACTGGTTGCCGTAACTGGGATCCTATTCCTGTCAGACTTTAAATTTTTTTCCAGACTTAAAACTGCACTTTTAAAATAAAGATATACATCTCAGTAGTTATTGTGCAAAGTTTCAATAGATTTGATCCAACAGTTAAAGAGTTATTGATCCTTATCTATGACATCTCAAATACCAGAAAATTGATCGGATAAAATCATAAATTCATGAAGAAAATATTCTTAAAATCAGCAAAACTTTTTTATTTTAAAAGATATTTACATTCTGTAAATTGCACATGATAGATAAATTCATTATTTGTATAGAAATCTAGTTAAAAAAAATTTTTTGCTGAAAAAAAGTTAATTATAATTAATTTTTTAATTAAAAAAAAAATCTTATAAGAATTACATATGCAAAGAAGCATACCCCATAACAAGAGTATAAATCATGAGACTTAGTCTTCAAACAGTCAGCTAAGTTCATTCAATATACAATGGAAGAGGCTAGATGCAGAGAAGTTCTCACTTGTAGCTAAAACCAGTCAAGACGGCACCTCCTACAGTTTTAAAAATGTCGAGGGAAATCCTGGATCTGCCTGAATGCTTAATGCTACTGTGCGTTGTTATACTTGTGACTGCTCTAAATGTCCCACTAGTTCATACGTGTGTGGTGGTGGTGGACACTCAAACTGTTGGTGGCTGAGATCTATGTACTTGGGTTCAAACAAGTTAACTAACCTGAATATGGATAACAAAGACAAGTTAATAATGCAGGAACTTTTAAAAATGAAACTTAGCGAAGAAGTATTTATGAAAATGAAATTTAATCATAATACTCAAAAAGGTGAAGCTGTTAAGGGAGCACTAAGTGTTTCCTTACCAAAGAATGTGAACTTTTCTAGAAATTTGAAAGGAGGGCATCCGCAATAATTCACAATTTGAATAATGGTATAGCTTATTCCTTGTGACAAAAAGCAGAATGTATTGGTTTTAAAATCTCAATAGGTTCATTAAAACACTTCGACCAGATGTAAAGGGAGTGTGAACAGAACAAAGTAAACCAAAATACTCCAGAAAGGAAAAAGAAAAATTTACAACGCACCGAACAGAAGACTAAGGTTCACGTGGAAGAAAAGGATCGAAGTAAATGTACAGATAGATATAAAAAAGGGCAACCTGATCCAAAACTTGATGCTGCATTTGTAAAAGCATAAAGGACGATCATTCATATGGTAGAGTAATACCTGCTAAGAAGAATATACCTACCAGAAGCTGTTCTTCAAAACTTCCAAAATCAAAGGAAGATATAGCTGCATTCATCTACTGCTGAAAAAGATACAGACAAAATTAACGGTCCTTTTAAGGACCACCAAAATCTTTAAAAAGGAGTCTAAAATTGTTGTACATTCAGTTAAAATTGTTTATATAAGCTATAGCCCTACCCCTTATATATCTTCCAAAAAAATCCAGGCCCCAATCTGGAAAATTGGAGAGCCCCTGGCAAGATTTTCTGAGTTTACGAAATATTCTGTGGTTATTAATATTTATGTGATGCGGCTCTTCAGTAATGTGACCCGCATTCTCACACAAACTATTTTGACACATAAAATGGCATAAAGTGTTGTATTTAATATTTAAAACTTATCAAAAACTAATTAAAAACCATAAAACTGAATCTATGGGCTTTTTTCTTTTTCCAGGTCCCAGAAATATGATATTGGAAAGAAATAAGCCCATATTTTCCATCTTTTGTTGTCCCCTGATCCCATATAAGAAATTTGTTATTTCTTGCCAGGTGGCTCTTTTCTAATATTCTTTGCTGATATTTTTTGAAAAATCCCTCCATTTTAACTTACAAGTGTATGAATACATAATACCATCAAAATGACCTTACTGTGACCCCTTCTGAAACTTTAAATTGAAAAACAAACTTTTTAATAATTTCATAAATTTAAATTTCAGTTTAATTTAAAAAGTTTAATTCAAATTTTAAAAATAATTACACCATTGTTTTTCTTATTGAATTTTCAAGTTTCTGGCCAAATTTCATCCATGTAACCCCAAAAATAAGCTTACAATTGCAGATTGAAGTGTTCAAAATATGCCCTCTGACAGGAACGGGGACCCAGTTATTTCCCCCATTGAAACGCATTGAAAATCATAGTAAATAAATGGGGTGCTGTCCAATTAATAATTTTGATAGCCACCTTGGGACTTCTGTTTCATGTTAGGCATTTGTTTCGAAGTTTCTAAGTTCAATCTCAGTGCCTCATGACCGGCATTCCGTTGCAAAATTTTGTTTCGATTGACAACAGGGTAGGTCCATCTACTTCCGGGGAAGAATAAAGGCTAGAATTTAGGCAATTTACTCTATGTACCGACGCCTTATTACATTTAAATCAATCAAAATTTTTACAGAAATTCAAGCTAGAAAGCCTATCCTTTCAAATAAATCTACATTCAGTTACAGAACTTGTGTAATAATAAAACTACACCATTTTAAATAAAAGTTATATATTTTTTTTAAGAACTACATTCGTGGGTACCGGACTGGTTGCCGTAACTGGGATCCTATTCCTGTCAGACTTTAAATTTTTTTCCAGACTTAAAACTGCACTTTTAAAATAAAGATATACATCTCAGTAGTTATTGTGCAAAGTTTCAATAGATTTGATCCAACAGTTAAAGAGTTATTGATCCTTATCTATGACATCTCAAATACCAGAAAATTGATCGGATAAAATCATAAATTCATGAAGAAAATATTCTTAAAATCAGCAAAACTTTTTTATTTTAAAAGATATTTACATTCTGTAAATTGCACATGATAGATAAATTCATTATTTGTATAGAAATCTAGTTAAAAAAAATTTTTTGCTGAAAAAAAGTTAATTATAATTAATTTTTTAATTAAAAAAAAAAATCTTATAAGAATTACATATGCAAAGAAGCATACCCCATAACAAGAGTATAAATCATGAGACTTAGTCTTCAAACAGTCAGCTAAGTTCATTCAATATACAATGGAAGAGGCTAGATGCAGAGAAGTTCTCACTTGTAGCTAAAACCAGTCAAGACGGCACCTCCTACAGTTTTAAAAATGTCGAGGGAAATCCTGGATCTGCCTGAATGCTTAATGCTACTGTGCGTTGTTATACTTGTGACTGCTCTAAATGTCCCACTAGTTCATACGTGTGTGGTGGTGGTGGACACTCAAACTGTTGGTGGCTGAGATCTATGTACTTGGGTTCAAACAAGTTAACTAACCTGAATATGGATAACAAAGACAAGTTAATAATGCAGGAACTTTTAAAAATGAAACTTAGCGAAGAAGTATTTATGAAAATGAAATTTAATCATAATACTCAAAAAGGTGAAGCTGTTAAGGGAGCACTAAGTGTTTCCTTACCAAAGAATGTGAACTTTTCTAGAAATTTGAAAGGAGGGCATCCGCAATAATTCACAATTTGAATAATGGTATAGCTTATTCCTTGTGACAAAAAGCAGAATGTATTGGTTTTAAAATCTCAATAGGTTCATTAAAACACTTCGACCAGATGTAAAGGGAGTGTGAACAGAACAAAGTAAACCAAAATACTCCAGAAAGGAAAAAGAAAAATTTACAACGCACCGAACAGAAGACTAAGGTTCACGTGGAAGAAAAGGATCGAAGTAAATGTACAGATAGATATAAAAAAGGGCAACCTGATCCAAAACTTGATGCTGCATTTGTAAAAGCATAAAGGACGATCATTCATATGGTAGAGTAATACCTGCTAAGAAGAATATACCTACCAGAAGCTGTTCTTCAAAACTTCCAAAATCAAAGGAAGATATAGCTGCATTCATCTACTGCTGAAAAAGATACAGACAAAATTAACGGTCCTTTTAAGGACCACCAAAATCTTTAAAAAGGAGTCTAAAATTGTTGTACATTCAGTTAAAATTGTTTATATAAGCTATAGCCCTACCCCTTATATATCTTCCAAAAAAATCCAGGCCCCAATCTGGAAAATTGGAGAGCCCCTGGCAAGATTTTCTGAGTTTACGAAATATTCTGTGGTTATTAATATTTATGTGATGCGGCTCTTCAGTAATGTGACCCGCATTCTCACACAAACTATTTTGACACATAAAATGGCATAAAGTGTTGTATTTAATATTTAAAACTTATCAAAAACTAATTAAAAACCATAAAACTGAATCTATGGGCTTTTTTCTTTTTCCAGGTCCCAGAAATATGATATTGGAAAGAAATAAGCCCATATTTTCCATCTTTTGTTGTCCCCTGATCCCATATAAGAAATTTGTTATTTCTTGCCAGGTGGCTCTTTTCTAATATTCTTTGCTGATATTTTTTGAAAAATCCCTCCATTTTAACTTACAAGTGTATGAATACATAATACCATCAAAATGACCTTACTGTGACCCCTTCTGAAACTTTAAATTGAAAAACAAACTTTTTAATAATTTCATAAATTTAAATTTCAGTTTAATTTAAAAAGTTTAATTCAAATTTTAAAAATAATTACACCATTGTTTTTCTTATTGAATTTTCAAGTTTCTGGCCAAATTTCATCCATGTAACCCCAAAAATAAGCTTACAATTGCAGATTGAAGTGTTCAAAATATGCCCTCTGACAGGAACGGGGACCCAGTTATTTCCCCCATTGAAACGCATTGAAAATCATAGTAAATAAATGGGGTGCTGTCCAATTAATAATTTTGATAGCCACCTTGGGACTTCTGTTTCATGTTAGGCATTTGTTTCGAAGTTTCTAAGTTCAATCTCAGTGCCTCATGACCGGCATTCCGTTGCAAAATTTTGTTTCGATTGACAACAGGGTAGGTCCATCTACTTCCGGGGAAGAATAAAGGCTAGAATTTAGGCAATTTACTCTATGTACCGACGCCTTATTACATTTAAATCAATCAAAATTTTTACAGAAATTCAAGCTAGAAAGCCTATCCTTTCAAATAAATCTACATTCAGTTACAGAACTTGTGTAATAATAAAACTACACCATTTTAAATAAAAGTTATATATTTTTTTTAAGAACTACATTCGTGGGTACCGGACTAGTTGCCGTAACTGGGATCCTATTCCATATTACTGGTGTCTAGTTATGTGACGATTGAGAGCATATAATTTTCCTGTTTCATATCTTTTATAAAACAGACGTCACCATGTGTCCCCCTCATCACCAGACATGTCAAATAACTTAAATATGGCACATTCAGATCATCATATTAATGACAACAGCAATAATCTTCGTACGCGGCCGTGTTCAGTTCTTCTACAAGGCATTTTGGATTTTAATGACTCTGAACAACACTATCTCGAAATGTAAAACTAAAAATTGCAAAACCTGTAAAATTTTAATATCAGATGCTCATTTCACTAGCAATTTACTAGTAACTAGGAAATCTTATTTTACCGGCAACTACGATAATCTGAATTGTAAATCAACAAATCTCGTCTACGGATTAGAGTGTAACCTTTGCGGATTGGTATTAGTCGGTTAAACGAAAGGAAGGCCTAATAAATGTATATGCGGCCATAGATCAGACACACAAACAATGCAAGCGACATTGTTTACCAGCATTTCAATCAGCCTGATCATTCAATCCTTTGATTCCTTTCTATGCAAATTCGCATCTTCGAAAAAATATACCACAGGACTAACAATCCTCATCTTGCCACACCTCTCCGTAGACAAAAAGAAGACTACTGGATTCGACAACTGGGATCTGCGACACCATATGGTTGCAATGACAAAATTGATGGTATAGGTATTCTATCTAGTCCTTCCTGTAGCTCGGTGAATGTGATGAGCATTTGCAAATCTACTCCTCGACGTAGACTCAGTCATGGTCATCATACATCGCCTAATTTCCATGATGTCTCTATTAATCAAAAGCCGTTAGGCATTTATCACATTCGCACGAAGCTTTACTATCCATTTCAAAACTTCATTTTCCATATAACTCATGTTTGGAAACCACTGTTACAAACCCCTATTCAAACCAATACAAACTTACAGCTATCATGTTGGATATTGCAAGTCACAGACTTTTCAAAACAGTTTGCATTGGAAAAGAAAGAGAGAAAAGATCCTTTCTAAAAACTTTCCTTCGCCAACAAAGAGTTCAATCGAAAATACCTCCCTATTTTAAAGATCAGTCTGTACCTATCATTTCTTATACCTTTACCAAACCAATTACAACTAAAATTTTCTATTACAAACATGTGTTGCAGGATCTCAATATTGAAGACTTCAAGTCTAAACCTCCTGATTGTAGCTGTGCTAGTTCCCCATTCATATATAATCCGGCTGGCCACGTTATTACTGGTGACCTTACCATTGTCAATAACACTTCTCTGCGAAACTGGTGTTATCCAGAGGCCCGAAATATCGCGAGCCTAAATACATCAATTGGAAACACAACTTCTAAATACTGCTGGAATCAGTCGAGGATTATGCCAGGCAATGGGTTAAACGCGAGAGAGAAGACGTATATGCTCTTTTCAGAATGGATTAAGGCTGTGAGGTCGTTGATACACATCAGAATTAACAAAACTGAATGGGTCTATGAATACCTATTCTACATCAATCTTTAAAGACCCAAATGTTGCAAAACACCTGTCCTACCTCCATGACAAATATGTTGTTGTTGCAGATAAAGACCCAAACAACATCGTTTTTATGTGTAAATCACATTACATAAACTGGTCGATAAATGAATTAGATATTGACAATTCACTTGGAAACTCAACATATACCCCCACGACACTTACCAAGGAGGAAATCCTGGATAATCATAGGTCTGTTCTTTGTGCCTTAGGAACTTCAACCAAAGATGAAGAACTGGATCTTCCTTCATTGTATTGGATACATCAACTACATAAGTGTCCTTACAAACAACGTTATATTGCAGGGTCTTCCAAGTGCTCCACAAAACCTTTTTGTACATTATTAACATCAATTTTATAAGCAATGAAACCTAGGCTTCAAATTTATAGTGAAATTACCACCTATTCTAGAGGTGGCGTGAATCAGATGTTGATACTAAAATATTCCAAAGATCTTTTCCAGTACAAACAATCTAAGACTCTTTCATCTTACAATTATTGTCTTTTCATCGTTTATCAGTTTTTCCCTTGGCATAGTAAGTTTCTGTTCGACGGATGAATGAACTGTTTGTATCTCCCGCCTTTTAATACCAAATTGTTACATGGAATGATTTTTTTTTATCGGGATCGGTGCATCAAATGCACATGTGACAACCGTCGTGTTATTTCTATAATATATGGTGATAAAGGTTAAATCAAGTGATTAAGCATTGCACAATAGCGGATATGTAATCGACTCTTATCTATAACATAAATAAATTCGTAATCCATCGGTCATGTAAATTTTCTAACCTTGAAACTTGACTTTGAAATTAAAACACGTTTGTCTATGACAAGAGATAAACAAGACTGTTACCGATAGAGCAAAGAATTACAAGGCACAAACAACACCATTTAAAACTGAAGCAAGAGAAACATGATCCCGTTTAAAGCAAAACTAGGGGGATCTTCGGTGCTCTGGAAGGGTAAGCAGATTCCACATGTGGCACCGTCAGGCTAAACAACGTGAACGAAGTACACCATGATGAACATGTTTCTTTCAGCGAGCGATGTATCAAATCATTCAATTCCATTAGAAGATATGCCATTAACCCCTGTAGGAGTCTTCTTTTGTCTCCTTTATTTTTGCATCGAGCAATTGCTCAATGTTTCAAACGAATCTAGAATATAAGGTACAACAAAACGCATTGTTTTGTTATAATTTAATCGTAGAAGAGGAAAGTATGCAATTTGGTCGTCATTTATTAGAAACAGAAAAAAAAACTTCATATAGTTTAAAATAGATCATCATTGATTTCTTGCCCAAGTAAAAGGGGACATTTCGCTTGATTTCAGACACAGTAAAGGTTAGGCTCAAACCGGGTATGCTGACCGAGGAGCAATCCGAATCTCAAGGAGCAATTAATGAAAAGTTTGTAACGGTGGGTTAGTAAAATCTGAATCCGATTCCAATAGAGGAATTATGCTCCGTGGGAATGTTCAGATTTTACCTACCCACCGTTACAATCTTTTCATTAATTGCTCCGCGGGATTCGGATCATTCCTCGGATTTCGGATCGGGATATCCGGTGTGAAGCTAGCACATGTCCAACCTACTTGACTGTAGTATGTCCGATGTCCATTTATTTCAATTCAACAAAATCATTACTATGTGTGATCGTAAACATCTACGGTTTGGTTGATATTTTGGAGATTTCCTGTGTCGTATGTGTCTTCCAATTGACGATCGTAAATATTGTCATTTTCCCCCTCCTTTGTGTTCAGTGCATTATGGGAAGAAATGTCGTAAACTCCATCCGGCTTTATTTCATAATGATCTTCTTCTTTCGTATTTGAAGTTTTGCATTATCAAACGAGTTAAATTTGTGATCTTTCTGAGCATTTTTTGAGTCAGAAGCTAAGTTTGATTGATCATTCGATAGAACATTCCCGGAGTTAATTGTTTCTTCTGATACCGATGCGTATAATGAAAAATATTTCTTCAGGTCACTATTTTCTGTTCTCATAATTGATTTTGATGTTTGGGCTTTTTTTTCTGAAAAATAGCAATAAATAAAAAAAATAAGAAATCTTACTAATCATTTTAAATGATTGATATAGATGAAAGGAAATGAACGTCATATGAAAGATCACAACAAGAAAACAAAACCTACTTACAGTTCTCAACATACAGACTACAGTCGTCTCCAATGTTTTGTTTTTTTTGGGGGAAAAGGGTTGAAAAGGACTAAATATTATATAAAAAAAATAAAGTTAGGATATATTTAATATTTTATTATCCGTCTTGTCTTCAGTAATAGCAATGTAACACATCCACATAATGATGTTTTAAGGGTTTGAGTAACCTTTCCTTGCAAGTCTTTTTTCCAAATGTTCCAGTTTACATTTGCCATGTCAAAGTCTTGATCACCCAGAGTCTAGATTTCAATATAAAAGTCAAATGCACAAATTGATAGACCCTACACAAAATTTTACAGGCATTTTAATCATACATGCATGACCGTATCAAATGTTTAAGTGACTAATCTACTGTATGAATTTACAAACTTTTCTTATCTTGTTTCACAAATGACGTAACCGCAATCACGTCCCTTTTCCTCGAATGTGACCTACCGAATGAGCCTTATCAACAGGTGTTGTACTTGCATGAGCAACACGACGGGCGCCACATGTGGCGCAGGATCTGCTTACTCTTGCAAGGCACCTAAGATTACCCTCGGTTTTTGTTGGGGTTCATGATGCTCAATCTTTAGTTTTGTTTTCTATGTTGTATGTTGTAAACTATTGTTTGTCTTTCGGTCGTTTTTCGTTTTTGGTCATGACAATGTCAGTTCGTATTCGACTTTTGGGTCTGAATATCCCTTTAATAACTTTGTCATCTTGTTTACTACTCTTCCCTCTTAATTAAAAACATGCTCCGCTGTACGTATGAATTTTACTGAACTTTTGTACTATCATTATAAGCACACTTCATGTTATTAACGTGACTTTGAGATTGAAATATTTGCAACTGGACGTTCAGCAAACAATAATTTAATCTTGTTTGGATATAGTAGCATACATTAGAAATCTCACCTTTGTTTCCTGTAAATGATAACATGATAACAAAGATCAAAATCAGTATAACAACATTGCCAACTACTAGACCAGTAACCATACCTGTAACAGAAAAAACCCAGATATTATTATAAAATTATGGCATAAATATTAATAAATATTGTTTAGCAGAATATCATGTTGCTCTAGCTTTCAATGCAATATTAAATACTGCATGATACATGCATATTACGTGAATACATTAAGAATTATCATAGAAAGTAACGGGTATGAAAATAAAATTCAAGGGAAAACGAATATCAAAAACAAACCAAACTTTAATATATGAGTAGAATTTGTCAAACAAGGAGTATTTTGGGCTGTGTTGCTCTAA